GGAGCCGAGCATATGCTGTAGAGATTATTACGATTTGAAGCATTTTCTGTAGAAGTGGTGAAGGCAGGGGAGTGGGTTAGGAAAAAAGGCAACAAGTACTGAGGACCTTAACAAGGGGAGAGGGATTTAGCAACCTGACTGGAGAAGGACAGAAGCAGGCCAGAGGGGATGGCAGCCATCCTTCAGGAACAGCACTTTGAAAATCTATGCTTCAAGTTGTTTTCTATTATGGGTTTAATGCTTCTCCATAACTGCTCACTCTTCAGGAAAGAATGTTAAACACAGCTAGGTGGTGGCACATGACTGTAATCGCAGCAACTTTGGAGGCTGAGGGAGGACTCTGAAAAGTTCAAAGCCAGTCTCAGCAACTTAGTGAGGCCCTAAGCAACTTAGTGAGACCCTGTCCCCAAATAAAACATAAAAAGGGCTGGAATGAGGCTCAGTGGTTAAGCATCTCATCAGTACCAAAAATAAAAAAAAAATGTGTGTGTGTATGTGTGTGTGTATACAACCCCCCCCAAAAAATATATATATATAATTTCATATAACAATATGGTGTTATATGTATATATATGTATATATATATGTTTTATTTGTATATTTTGTTTTATATATGTGTTTTATTTATATATAAAACACACAAACATGTGCCCAGAGGGAATGTGTATCTGCCAGAGAGAAAAGGAGTGGATACAAATGCTAGCTAGCACAAAGGTCACTGAGGAAAAGGCTCCCCATGTGGTCTGGATTGAGAGCTACACTGGGTTTGAGGAACATGTAGACATTATCCTGGCTTCTCAGAAACAACAGAAATTTGTGATATGAATTTTAAAGAAATTGTTGCCATGTGTGGGGGTGGGTGCCTGTAATTCCAGTGACTTAGGAGGCTGAGGCAGGAGAATCTCAAGTTCAAGGCCAGCCTGGGCAATTTAGCAAGACTGTATCTTCAAAATAAAAAAAAATTTAAAAGGCCTGGGGACATAGCTCATTGATAAATTGCCTCTGGGTTCAATCCCCAGTATGTCAAAAAAAAAAAAAAAGGAATTTTTAAGCTGAAATGATAGGCTGATTGAAATAAGAATTTCTGAAGTATAAATTTGTTTCCAATTGGAAGAAAGAAAGAAAAAAATGAAAAATTAAAAAAAAAAAAGAAAGGAGGGAAGGAAGAAAGAAAATCCCTGCTGATCTATTCCAGCTCTACCCATGATTCAGTCTGTTTAGAATAGATCCTGAGGGGTTGTGGTCATAGCTAGCACGTGTAAGGCAAACATTTCTCAGCACTGCATATAAATACATAAAGATCCATTGACAACTTAAAAAAAAAAAAGAATAGATACTGAGAAGGGAATAGTATGGTCCATGTATCCCAGGAGTGGCATTAAATGATGAGGTGGGATGGCAGGGGAAGGGAACTCAGACACAAACACATCAAACTTTCAGGAACTACAAAAGACCCCTGAAAGCAATAAAAACAGGAAACTGTGGGCTAGGGAACTCAAGGATTTAAGGTGCTGGTTTCCATGGCTATGGTCCACATCCATCTTTGTGTCCTCAAAAGTACTATTATACACTCGTGACTCAATATATTAACCAGGCCCGTCATGCAAATTTGTATTTTGAAAGAGAGCACAAGCAGTAGTTAATACTAACTGCAAAAAATGACCAAGAAAACTAGATGTGCAACTTAGTAGACTTTGTACTTCCACTCAAACCTTTTTTAAAAATCTGATCCTCATGATCACCCCATGATGACAGACAGCAGCATCACTAAACCGTTTTCAGACAAGATGAAGGCTCATATTTCATTTATTTAATAATTTCTAAGCCTCAAACTTTTTTTTTTTATCATTTTCAGTCTGTTTCACCCTGCACAACTGGCTAGTTGCAGTCTTTGGCATCTGGGATCTTGTACATCTATTGTGTACAAGAGCTGTGTGCTGTTTTTATTTTTTATTTTTTTTTCGGGGGGGGGGATCAATCCACTCAGCTCATGCCAATTATTGTCATGAAGAAATGTGGACCTAGGTATTCTAATTTTTTAAGAGAAGTCAGACATTTATATTAATAGATTAATATTTTATTATTAGTTTATCTGAAAAGGAAAAGAAATCCAAACATTGCGCAAACTTAGTGCACATGCCTAGCAGTGTGAGCCTTCTGCTTTGTATCTGCGTGCTTGGCTCTCTCCAGGGTTGTCCCAGAGAGAGTACAAAAGTGAGGTTGCTGATGTCCATGCTACCTTCCTCCTCTTTTCTCTGCATCTGACTCTTCACCTGATCTGAATGGCTGCCCCTGGATTTGTCATCTCTTTTCTGTCAATCTCCCTCTGAGTCATCTTCAATTTTTGGTGGGGGACCTGGGAAATAAAGTGGTGGCAAGGGAAACTTGCAGTATGCTTTTTTTTTTTAAGCATTCAAAACTGAGGCGAATCAGATAGTAGGTAGATGGAAGTGTGGGCAAGGTAGGGAGGAGCAAACAAGGATGGGGGGATACCATGCCCCAGAGCTGTTTGTGAAGAAGAGGAAAGGAAGGATGAGAACTGACAGCACTCTTAGAAAATATTAAATAGTAATGAATGGAGGGTAATAGGCTACAAAAAAAAAAAAAGTGATAAGCCTGTCCATGGCTTGCTGTATTTCAGCACCCAGCTGGGTACCAGAGCTTGACACATTTTTTTTCTGACACTGTAGACAGTTTTACAGTGCTGGGAGCAAAAACTTGAGTAATGCATAAAAGGCAAATGATTTTGCTATTAAAGAATAAAAAAAATGGCAGAATGAGAAATGACAGAATAAAAGATATCACTGTTATTGTTCTAAATAGATGTTATGTCTCATGTTAGATAAAATTGCATTAATTAGTAACTAGGGATTTTGGAAATAACCATTGTGTAAATGGTCTCCTTTTGGTCTGCATGTGGTAATGAAGATGCTTTAGATGGGATACCTCAGTAATTTAGACACAATATTTCTTAGTTCCTGTTGTGTACAAAGTACCAAGCACTGTGGGGAGAGTTATGGGAAATGGCAGACATAATCCTTTCTTCTGAGCAGCTTGGTATTAGATTTTTAAGAAGGATGAAGCTCCCCTCAAAAGCCCATATCAAATCTTAAACAGTTTCAAGCAATAAAAACAGCTATGTGCTAGACACCTCTCCCAGAAAACATCACTTTGCATCCATCTGAACATAATTCAAACCACATTTACTAAAACTCTGCTACTCTGATATACAGCCCCACTTCGTTTTTATGTTTCTGTGAGAAAATGTAAAGAATAGCACTTTCTTAGGAACATCTTCCAGATGTTAAACAATAAGAAGGTGTTTGTATTTATTTAATCTTAAGCCTACCTGAATGTAAGCTGGAGATTTCAATTTCTGTGTTTCAGTGATCTTTTCTCTCACCCCATTCCCCTTCTTTTCCAACCTCCCTTTTTTAAGTTTTATACTCCTACCATCAGAAACTTCCTACACATTTGTTAAAATGCTATCACACTTCTCTCTCTCCATTCTCTCCCCATTAAATACTAAAGTTAGAGAGTCACACCCCATTTCTCAAGCCTAACAGAGGTTGTCAGTCAGCACAAACAGGCAAAAAAGTAAAATGGAACAGTGGTAGTGCCACCCAGTGAGAAGAATTAGTTCCGAATGCTGTCAAAATAAAACAGGTTTGATTAATGTCATTGGTCACTTTATTTTCACTGCTTCCCTAGCAGAGTCAAAAAGAGCAGTACCAGGCCAGAGTACGTGGACACAGGAAGATCTTCTATTAATGCATTATCATTATCGTCATCATAGTAATGTCTAAGTCACTTCATGTCTTACCAAAGGATTACCTTATAACTGTGGAGCTTTATGCTCATTTCTTACCAAGACTTACCTAATATGAAATTTACTTTTGGTCCCTTCTGTGACAGTATATATCAGGGATGTAATGCAGTATGCATTTGGACTCCAGGACATCTGTGGAAGTCCAACTCTATTTTCCAGACAAACATAAAATTCATGTGGCTCTTAACTCACTGAAAAGTAGATCATGACATATATATATATGTCCCTTCTTCAACTAAAAGAAAAACAGCACTGGGTTTGCACACCATCTTTTAGTCACTCTCTGTGAATCTTGTGTTCATCTATCTGTTTCAAGCTGCTTTCTTATCTCTTCTCAACCATTTCTAAAGGTGTTCTGATGCTTTGAGAAAATCAGTAAAAATGTTTGAGACTGGAGTGGAGAGAAAGAAGAGAACTAAAAAGGGCTTAATTGGCTCAGCTGGGTTTTCTTGTTTATTCAAATTTTAGAAAATAAGCTAATCTGTGTTGAATATAGAATCCACTACAATGGGACAAATTGATGCTGCTTTCTCTTTCTTGACAGTGACTTCTCTGAAATCCCTGTCATTTTTTTTTTTTGTAAACTTACAATAGTCAGAAAATTCTTTTCTTTCGTGGAAATCAGTGATTGTTAATTTTTGTAAACATTAATGTATCTGACATAACTTCAACATTCAGTATTTATTCATTTATTTATTTATTAGTGTTTTTAAATCTATTTGGCTCTGCTGGGGGCTGAACCCAGGGCCTCTAGTAAGGGCCAGATAAGTGCTCTGTTACTGAACTACATTCCAAGCTTGACACTTGGAATTTCAAGTCATTCAAATCACATTATGTTAACTAAAAGCCCGTTTTCATACTCTTTTATTTTATGACTTTATTATCATTTTGTGGTGCTAAAGACCCAACCCAGAGCCTGCCACATGCTAGGCAAGTACTCTACCACTGAGCTACATGCCTAGCCCTATATTCTGATTTTAAGTCATTTTTTGAACTCTGCACATTTGGTTAATGATTTCGGGTTTTCAAAACAGCATCATTAGCTATCGTTGTGAATAAATTTCTTTGACAATATTTCTGTAGGTCGTCATTTCAATCCCTGGTCCTCCTGGGTCTGGATGAGGTGTTCCCTCCCCTGCTCCTGGTTAGGCTCCTCTCCCCTGCAGCTCAATGGCGGTAACTCACGTCCACGTGGCTCTGCGCCAAGAGAAATGCCTATGGAAGGGAAAGCCCTTTCTGAACGGAGGGCTGACTGCCTTTGTGAAAGATGAGAAGACAAAGCCTAATACTGTGAAACCTCTTTAGAACATTTTCCAGGGAACTGAGCATTCTGAATGTTCTACGTGGGAACACATGCGCGGGGCGAGCGGCACAATGAGGGCATTTCACTGCACTTCCCGGGGCCAGACATTCCAGCGCACCCAGCGCAGGAGCCAGTGGCCCGGCTGCAACACGAGACGGGCACGGGCTCAGGAAAGCTCCCCTGGCGCCCCCGCCCCCACTCTGTGGTTGTGCAAAATGGTCAATTACTTCGTCTGAAACAGAGGCCACGTCTGTTCTCCAATGCTGTGCTTTGGGCGCGGCCTGAGACTATCCGATGTTTAAGTTGGTTCAGGTGGCCCAGGGAAAAGGCAAAACAGTACTTTCACAGACTGCAGAAAGCATCTGAGAATAAACGAACATCTCAGAGGGAAGGTAAGCACACCCCACGGTAAGTAGCCTCTGAGCTTTTCTCTAGGTCGTGCTTACCAAGTCCTGTGGCTACACGGTTCTCCTGTTGGAAACCCTGTCTTCTTACTCGGTTTAATAATTTCTGAACACACAGATTCTCAGATGACTTAAGGTCAAAGTCTCAGAATGCCAAGCAGCAGGCAAGACGTCTTCTTGACCTCTCCTCCCTTGGGCTCTATAGAGCAGCCCTTTCCAAAGATCTGGGGCTGGACAACCTTACTTTTTTTCTTTTTCTTCTTCTCGCCCCTCTCTCCTCTTTCCCAGAGCTTGTTTTTGTTATGCTGGGAATTCTACTTTACTTGGGGTATTTAGTTATCTAAGAGCATCTTGGTGTTTTTCAGATTACCGAGAATCTGTTGTAATGTGACTTTGTATCACAGCAGATAAAGGGATCAAGATAGAGAGCTGATGGAGACTCAGCTTTCTAAGTATGGATGATAAGCATTAGTAGATAAAATGTAATCAGCCAAGTAAGGGAAACAGCAGGAATGAGAAGAATGTTTCTTATTCAACATCTTGTGTAAAATTTCCCCTTAACAAAGTCAGATAAAATATAAAGAATCAGAGGAAATTTTAAAAATATAAAATTAGCAAGAAAAGTGTCCCTTAGGTGCTTGGGTGGGCTGGGGATGTAGTTGAATGGCAGAGTGCTTGCCTAGCATGCATGAGGCATGAGGCTTCAGGGTTCATGGGTAGTACTATGGTAGAGGGGCAGGATGTGTTTCTCTATATGTATGCATATAGGGAATATATATATATATAATATGTATATGTATATAATATATACATATAATATATACATATTCATATTATATATATATTTTCTGTGTATATGTATACATATATAGCGAAAATAGATGAGCCTGTACAAATAAATAAATATAGGTATGTGTATGTATAGATTTTTTTTTCTTTTTCTGTTAGGATTCATTTTATTTTTCTTGGTACTGGGGATTAAACCGAGGGGTGCTTTACCACTGAGCTCAATTCCCAGTCCTTTTTATTTTTTATTTTGAGGCAGAATCTCACTAAGTTGTGGAGGATTTTGCTTAATTGCTGAGGCTGGCTTTTAATTTGCAATCCTCTTGCCTCAATCTCCCGAGTCACTGGGATTATAGGTGTGTGCCACTGTGCCTGGTTTAGGATTAACTAACTTTTTAGAGTAAATTTATTCCTTGGTTGATTATTCGGTTTGTCAAATAACTGAAACTACTTTTAATAGCTGTTTAAAAAACTTAAAAATGCAGGCCTGGGGTCGTGGCTCAGTGGTAGAGCACTTGCCCAGCTAGCGTGAGGCACTGGCTTCAATCCTCAGCACCACATATAAATAAATTTTTTTTAAAAAAGGTACATTAACAACTAAAAAATATTTTTAAAACCTTTTAAAAATGCACAAGAGTAGGTGTTTGTTTTAGGAAAACATGAATAATATGTTTGACATTGTAAAATGCTAGCTTCCAGAATATGAGTGGTCTAACAGAACTCTTTTTTTTAAATTATAAATGGACAATACCTTTATTTTATTTAATCAATTTTTATGTGGTGCTGAGGATCTAACCCAGTGCCTCACTTATGCCAGGCAAGTGCTCTACCATTGAGCCACAACTCCAGCCCCAAGAACTCTTTATCACTAAAAGTTGAATGCTCTAAAAGGCCTCAGAGAATACTGGAATTAGACAAGCACATATTAAAGGCTGTATAACTTCCAAATCCCTACCACTAGCCCTACCCCATCATTCCTCTTTTAAGGATAGGTCATCTTTCAGCACTTGGAAGGTACAAAAGTCAATTTGGATGCTGAAGAGAATGAAGCAGCTGTATAGGGTTTACTTACTATTCAACATCCCCACCATTAAATTCCCCCAGCCACACAGGAGGATTTCGTACTGGCTCTCTGCACCAGGCAGCCTACATCTAAATGGTCCCCAGTGATCCCCACCTCCTATACTTGTGTCCTGTATCATTCATGAATGAATCTCATACATGCATTGGATAATATCTTTCCCTCCAGTGTGAGCTGAGTTTTGTGACTCAGTTCTAGCAAATAGAGTGAGGCAGAGGTAGTTGTATTTTGCCTCTCAATTAGGTGACAAAATGGCGTGACTTCTCTCTTGGATGCTGTGTTTTACTTTCTGCATCTTAAGGAAGCCACTGCCAACTTTGAGATGCCTATGGACAGGCACATCATGGTCTAGTATCCCACAAGGCAGTGAATCCTGCCAACAACTACATGAGTGACCTGGAATCAGGTCCTTGCCCATTGCATCTTCACATAAGGCCTCAGCCTCTTATTTGCTACCTCATGAAACATCCCAAGCTAGAAATAATGAATGCCATTTTTTTCTTATTTTTTAGTTGTAGATGGACACAGTGCCTTTATTTATTTATTTATGTGGTGCTAAGGATCGAACCCAGTGCCCCACACATGTGAGCAAGTGTTCCACCACTGAGCCACAACCCCAGCCCCATGTTTGTTGTTTTAAGTTACTAAGTTTTACCATAATTTATTATGCAGCAATAGATAATGAATACCCCATTCTTGTGCAGTCCTTGCCTACCATCCTCTTCAACCTGCCTTCTCACTTATCCTTCCAGCCCTTTCTCTCTGATTGCTATTCCTCATCTCCACATTCCTTTTACCTCTTTGGGAGGAATGGTTTAAAACTATCTCTGTTTTGCCAGCTCCTTTTAGGCCATGCCCTAAGGGCTTCTCCTTCTTCACCTTCAATAACTTAAAAATAATAAAGTAAGTTTTCAGCCTAAGAGAACATCAGCATTAGCCGTTATAAGAATACTTTTTTTTCCAACTTATATTAAGAATGTGAGTCCTCCAAAATAAATAATGTGTCTATGATTTCATCAACTTGAAAATGCCTGAGCTCTGGTAGATTGATAAGGTTGGCATTAAGAATCTGGATGATTCAACAATCAAATACCCGGGTATTAAACTTTTTATATTAATAAAACAAATTATTTTAAAATAATTAACAAATGGTTATTTTGGCCTACCCTCTTGTTTCGGTAATTGTTATATGTTAATGTCAGATGCCTGCATCTGAAACTTTCAGGTTTCCTGCTGATGTGCACTGCTACAACTTCAAATGAAATGCTGTGTGCTATTTATTACCCCATTTTTACCTTTAAATATGTGCTAGTAGGGCTGAGATGTGGCTCAGTGGTAAAGCACTTGCCTAGCATTCTTGAGGTAGTAGGTTTGATCCCCAGCACCACAACAAGAAAAAAATAGAAATAAAAAGAGGAATAAATAACTTAAAATTCTGCGTTTCCTAAATTAGACTTTTCTTCAGGTTTCCTGGTTCCTGCAGCCTAGAGAAATCCTCATGACAGTCTCCTTCAGTGCCCTGCTGCCCTTCCCTCACCGCCTTGTTCTACCTGGGCTCATCTCTTTCATCTTGCTATTTTCCCTCCAGTTCCAGAGTCCTCAGATTAATTCCTCACCATAACCATATTTGTCCTTATGACATGACATTTTAACCTGCTTTTGTTTGAACTTCTCCCATCTAGGCTGTGTGGTGGAAGGGAGGCGATGGTCTTATTTCCAGTACCAGGAAGGTCCCAGACTCGTGCCTTCTTTCCCAGATGTCAGCATGTTCCTCTGCTCAAAATGTTCCTGGCCTCTTAAAAGAACATTGTAAAATGTTATATATGATATTAGAGTTTAAATAAAAAGTTGTTAAAAAATCCTAATTAAATATACAAGAATAAAATTCATTTTCCCATTGAAATCCTACTGAATTTGCTAAAAAAAAAAAAAAGATATTCAAAACAGAGTTTTTTTTCCTTAAGACTAGTCCAAATGTCCGTATTATAAATTAATTTATGGGCTGGGGATGTGGCTCAAGTGGTAGCACGCTTGCCTGGCATGCGTGAGGCCCGGGTTCGATCCTCAGCACCACATACAAACAAAGATGTTGTATCCGCTGATAAGTAAAAAATAAATATTAAAAAAATTCTCTCTCTCTCTCTCTTTAAAAAAATTAATTTATAATTCAATTCAAGTAAATTTTATGTTTGTAATTATCACTCTCTTTAGGGATCAATTTCCATACATTTAATTGCTCATCTACGGCATGGCAATGAATGGCAAATGTTAGAAAATTATGTCTTCTCATGGCAACATCAGTAGCCTGAAACTAAAACAAATCCTGGATCATAGACTGTTGTAAATTATGCTTAGTGTCAGGAAGATGGATGAACACAGGACATCAACTTCAGACATTGATGTTAAGGAAGCATTTTCAAAGAGCGTAGGATTTTTGAAGAGCGTATGAAAGAATATGCATCCATTCTAGATGGCATTAAATTTTAAGGTCAGAAGGGTTGCTTTGGGGTGTGTATTCAGGAAACATCCCCTCTCTGCTTCCCTCTGGGCAGCCAATTGCACTCCTTGCTTTCAAAGTTTCAGCACTGGGAGTTTCTTGGAAAAATGTCTGATGAACTAGATTGGGATAGAAAACAGGGAGCTGATAAAGGAGGAGAGAAAATTTCTACAGTTAGATTTCTCCTAGAATGAGAAAGAACTGCACAGGAGCAAGGAGAAAGTATGGCCTGGCTCAGGGGATTCTACAAGACATGGGGGTTGGAGTGGGGGAGTTTCCAGATCAAAACTCCCTCACCTAACCCCACAAGCCAGCACTATGCTTCTTAAATATCTCAAAGAGCTACGGCTCATAATTGGGTTGCCCTTTGGAGCCCAAGAAAGTGATGGTGACCCTATAAGGAAGCATCTCACTGAGGAAGGGTCTTGCTTCCTTTCTTGTTGAGACAGAGTCTTGAGTTAGGAAGGTGGTATCATGAATGGAATGGTAGCTAAGAACCCAGTGGCAATTAGTGAGCTGTGACAAGAGATGAGCAATTTCAATCTGACCAATGTTTAGTGTGGAGAGGCACTTCACCAGTTTAAGTAAACATGTTTGAACATTAGCCAAGGTAATGCTTGAAGAGCAGGCCTCGGGGTGTGGCCCAGTGGTAAAGTGCATACTTAGCATGTGCAAGGTTCTGGGTTCAATCCTCAGCACCAAAATAAAAGCACAATAACAACAAACACCCCCCAACCAAACCAAACCAAACAAGCCAAAACACTTGAAGAACATCTTATAGGAGAATAGAAACGGAAATCTGGGCATTTGGGACCCCACAGAGATTTGTGCTGGTAGATGGAAAAAAAAAACAACAAAATTTGGAAGGAGGTTGATTTCCTGTAGTTACAAGGGTGGGAAAGTTAAGATTGAATGTCATTGTCACCTCGTTTGCACTCACAGGCTGGGAAGTTACAAAAGCTCACAGAGGGAATAAGTTTCTAACCAAGATCACTTTTTCATTCGGAAAATTCAATCATGTTAAAATAGCATTTTGAAAAACATGTTTGTTAAAGATCAAAATTATGTTTCAATTACAAAAACTCAAAAATAGTCAGATTTTGGGACCAACATTCTCTGTCATGGACATACAATAAGACAAAACTTTGACACTCACCCGTGGAACTCACCTTGCCAGTAGATCAGAGTAATAACTCTATGTCGTACCATTATTGTGCAGATAACAAGAATTCCAGGGAAGTGTTTAGCACAGTGTCTGGCACACAGAAAGTGCCCAGTTAGATTTGCTCATTGATTAGTGAAAAAGCCTTCGCCAGAAAATTTAACTGTGTGTCAAAAGAAAGACCATTAGAGCAAATGCCAAGAGATTTTTTTTTTTTAATTCTTCTTGTCAGTATGGCCATCAAACCACATTTGTTAGACATTCATTTTGCCAAGAGCTTTTGATAGCCACAGCACCATGAATGAGAAAAGAGATGACAGGGGAGATGAGGATAGAGCTAAGTTGGTAGAGTGTTTGCCTTGCATACAAAAGGCCCTGGGTTTGATCCCCAGCACCAAAAAAAAAAGAGAGAGAGATGACAGATTCTTTGGTTAGCCCTCAACTAACCTCCTGTATCAGATGGGAAAAATGAACAGCTCAATATCTGTCATAGCTAAGGTCATGTTTAACAGTAATTCACACATTTATGAGATACGACTGTTCACTGAGTCTATAACACCTGCTTTAAATTGTTTACTGTTTTTTAATGGGTAGTATAACAATTAGGGTAATTAAATAGTGATTGAAGTATTTTGTAGTTTTAATTTTCTAACACTGTGTTTTTTTAGAAAACACCTATCTGTTTTCTAATCCCCAATTAATTAACTATGATTGTGGAGAATTGAGTTGATTGGACTGGCTGGGATTAGCAACCCTCTACTCTGGGTGCAAATATTTGAATTAAGGCTAAAGGAGGAGAAGAAAGACTACAGATCCTTTCCCAAGCTGGTCTTGCATATCCAAATATAAGAAGTATAGTGATGGTAGTCATTGTTTAAATGTGTCCTGGTCTAATGTATCTTCTCAGGAAAGAATAGGGTCAAGGATGAAGAAGACAGTGATGAGACTAATATTATGGGTAAATTTTATTGACTTTATACCATGTGCCAGGGACATCAAAAAGCACTTTATATACTATATCCTATTTGCCTATAAGTCAGCACAGTAATTTTCATTGTATAAGAAAGCAACTTGCCAACGTTACCTGAAGGGCTGTTGGGATTTGAGACCAAGTCTGTGACTTTATTTGGTATGTTTTTCAGATTATTTCCTGAAAACAGGAATTGCATGAAAATATTTGGGACTGAAAAGTTTCAGGAAAGGACTGGGTGTGTAGCACAGTGTAGAGCACTTGTGTAGCATACACAAGGCTCTGGGTTCAGTCCCCAGCATGAGACACACATATACACAAAAGAGAAAGATAAAGAGAGAAAAGAAAGAAAAAGTAATAGGCAAAATCACACATATATGATTCACAAAGCTTCCCAATTTGCAAATTGTGCTTACTAAGAGGCTATTTGAGCCATATTTTGTGGGGAGGCAGGTTGGAGACTGAACCCAGGGCCTTCTTGAAAGTTAAGCATGTGTTCTACCATGGAGTGACAACCCTAGCCCAAGTAAAAGGATATCTGAATATTACATAATTTTAGCAAATTCTGACCTATGTTCATCTGGAAAGGTAGATCAGCACTATATCATAAAAGTTTCTAGTTTGTGTCATTTTCATGTCATTAAAATACGTAACTTGATTCTTTCCTCAAATGTTAAAATTGGATTTTTTTTATATTTTTAAAAATTTTGTTCTAATTAGTTGTACATGACAGTAGAATGCATTTTGACACATCATATATATATGGAGAATAATTTCTCATTGTTCTGGTTGTACATGATGTAGAATCACACCAGTCATATAATAATATATGTACATAGGATAATAATGCCTGATTCATTCTACTATACTTCCTTCTCCCATTCTCCCTTCCCTCCCTTCACTCCTCTCTACCTAATCTAAAACAATTCTGTTCTTTCCTAGCTAGCTGCTCACCCCCTTATTGTGAATTAGCATCTGTATGTCAGAGAAAACATTTGAACTTTGTTTTTTGGGATTGGCTTATTTCGCTTAGCATGATATTCTCCAGCTCTATCCATTTACTGGCAAATGCCATAATTTCATTCTTTATCCATTCATCTGCTAAAGAAAACCTAGGCTGGTTCCATAGTTTAGCTATTGTGAATTGAACTGCTATAAACTTTGATGTGACTGTGTCACTGTAGTAGGTTGATTTTTAAGTCCTTTGGGCATACACCAAGGATTGGGAGAGCTGGGTCAAATGGTGGTTCTATTTCAAGTTTTCCAAGGAATATCTATACTGCTTTCCAGAGTGGTTGCACCAATTTGCAATCCCACCAGCAATGTATGAATGTACATTTTCCCCTACATCCTTGCCAACACTTATTGTTTCTTGTATTTTTGATAACTGCCTGACTGAAGTGAGATGAAATTTTAGAGTAGTTCTGATTTGCATTTCTCTAATTTCTAGAGATGTTGAACATTTTTTCACATATTTGTTGATTGATTGTATTGCTTCTTCTGTGACATGTCTGTTCAGTTCCTTAGCTCATTTATTGATTAGGTTATTTGGGTGGTTTTTTTTTTTTTTTTTTTTGGTGTTAAGTTTTTTGAGTTCTTTATATTTCCTGGAGAGGCTGTATCAGAGGTGCATGAGGTAAAGGTTTTCTCCCATTCTGTAGGCTCTCTTCACATTATTGATTGTTTCCTTTGCTGAGAAGAAGCTTTTTGGTTTTAATTCATAAAATTCCATTTTTTCTTTTTTAATTAATTTTTAAAATTTATATATGACAGCAGAATGAATTACAATTCTTATTACACATATAGAGCACAATTTGTTATATTTCTGGTTGTATACAAAGTATATTCACACCAATTCATGTCATCATACATGTACTTTGGATAATGATGACCATCACATTCCACCATCATTTCTAACCCCATGCCCCCTCCCTTCCCCTCCCACTCCTCTGCCCTATCTAGAGTTCATCTATTCCTCCCATGCTCCCCCTCCCTACCCCACTATGAATCATCCTCCTTATATCAGAGAAAACATTCGGCATTTGGTTTTTTGGGACTGGCTAACTTCACTTTAGCATTATCTTCTCCAGCTTCATCCATTTACCTGCAAATGCCATGATTTTATTCTATATTATTGCTAAGTAATATTCCATTGTGTATAAATGCCACATTTTTTTTTATTCATTCATCTATTGATTCTTGATTTCACTTCTTGTGTTTTAGGAGTCTTGTTAAGGAAATCAGATCCTAGGCTGACATGGTAAAGATTTAGGACTACTTTTTCTTCTATTAGATGTAGGGTCTCTGTTCTAGTACCTTAAGTCTTTGATCCACTTTGAGTTGAGTTTTGTGCAGGGTAAGAAATAGGGGTTTAATTTCATTTTGTTACATGTGGAGTTCCAGTTTTTCCAGCACCATCTGTTGAATAGGCTATCTTTACTCCAGTGAATGTTTTTGGTGTTAAATGGTATTTTTAAAGGACGATTGCATCAACCTTCAGTGTAATTTTTCACTCTGAAATAGCTATTGACTTATTAGAGCAAGATAACAGCACAATTTTATTTGTGTCAAACCCTGAGTTTCATTAGAAGAGACTATGGATTCATTAACAACAGTGATCTTCTCAAACAGAAATGCATCTGGTGCAGCCATGTAATCCCAGAAACTCAGAAGGCTGGGTCAAGGAGGATTGCAAGTTCAATGTCTGTTGCAGTAACTTAATGAGATGCTCTCAAAAAAAAAAAAAAAAAAAAATGGAGCTCAGTGGTAGAATGTCTCTGAGTTCACTCTCCAGTACTGGGGAGAAAAACAAACAAACAAAAAAGCATTTGGTGGCCAAGGGAGGAGACCATATTTGATCCCTAAAAATGAGTTCAGTAACTGTCACAATATTTTATAACCATTTGGACTTTAATTTTAACTACTCTGCCTGTTGTGCAGCATATACAAATCGACACCCTGTTAATTTCATTGCTTTACTTAAAGTTAATACTATCACTTTATTTATTGGCCTCAGTTTTATTTCTCTTTTGCTTTCTCTGTCTTATTTTGCCAGTGAACCAAGCTGAGAAGCTGAGGTCATCCTTACTCTTTACAGCCTCTATTCAGCATGTGCGTGATCCCAAAGAGTCTCTCCCTTCCTGTCACCCAGGACTTGGTTCAGGTGCACATCCTCATCTTGGCTTTCCCAGACGACTTCAAAACTACCCTGACACCAGGCAGCTCCTCAAGCCCACTCCACTCTCCACTCAATGGAAGGAAGTTAGGTCATTGGGGGTGCCCTTGAGGGAGCCACTGGGATCCTGCCCCTTCCTGTCTCTCTTTGCTTCCCAGACACCATGAGGTAAGCCGCTTTGTTCTGCTGCACACTCCTCACCATGATGTTCTGCTTTGCCACAGGCTCAAAAAACATGAGGCAAAACGGACCATGGACTGAAACTTCTGAAATCGTGAGCCAAAATAATACTTTCCTCCTTATAAGTTGGTCTGTCTCAGGTTTTGTCACATTGATGGAAAGTCCTGGTCACGACGGCAGCAGTGCTCAGCTTGTGTTTTTGCCATGTACTGTGCTGTTGGTGATTCCTCCCCTCTAGCCTTTTGCTCAAGCTGTTCCCTTTGCCTAAAATGCCTTCTCCGCCCACCCCACCCTCTGGCTCTCTCTCCCTTTGCCTATTTTCTACTTACTCTTGAAAACACTGTTCAGATATCACCTCAAAGAAATCTAGCCTTCCCACACTGGGAGCCTCTCCCCTTCCATCTCAGGCCTCACCACTCTGTGAACAAAATAGGCATTTATTAAATATATTACTATAACCATTATTACTCTTATTACATTTTACTGTAATTTGCAATGTGTTTGCTGTCCTTCTTTAGAATGTTAGCTCATTCACTTTTTTTTTTTCCAATACTTGGATTTGCCCAGGGGTGCTCTGTCATTGAGCTACATCCCCAGTTCTTTTTGTTTTTTATTTGGAGACAGGGTCTAAGTTATCCAGGCTGGCCTTGAATTTGCAATTCTCTTGCCTTAGCATCCTGAGTAGCTAGGATTAAAGGCCTGTGCAATTTCTCTTAAAAGTAGCATAGGAAAAACACAAGAAACAGAGCTGATGTATAGCTCAGTGGTAGAGAGCCTGCCTAGCATGCATGAGGCCTTGGGTTCAGTTTCAAGTACCTTAAATCGCACGCACACACACACACACTCAAACACACACACACACACACACACAAGCGATAAAGCTACACAGATCATAAAGTCATAAAAATAATACTAATAGCCCTTAAACATATGAGATTTTCAACGATGTTGATGAGAGAAATGTAGGTTACTTTGCTTCCATTTCTTACCGATCACATTGGCAAAGTCAGAAAGTTTGACAATATATTCTACCAGTGAAAATAGGCAAATTGCCATTCTTAGGTATTGTGAATAGAACTACAAAGTGGTACAGCCATTAGTGGGGAGTTAGCAATACTGAGTAAAATTATATATGCCTTTCCAATTTATATATGCAATATCCCTCTTAGAAGTCTATTCCAAAGATGTCTGCAAAAAACATGAGACTGCAGAAAGCTATATTTTGTAGCACTATTTAAAATAACGAAAAATTGGAAATACCTCAAATGATAATTAGTAGTGGACTGGTTAAATAAATTATAGTAAATGCATAGAATTAAGCATTTTGTACAGATGAGAGAGAATTCTTTACGTAATGCTACAGAGTGATCTCCAATGTATTAAAAGAAAAAAAAAAACAAGGTAGAAAAAGTTTGTTCCACCATTTCTTTAAGAAAAGCGAGGATATGATCATAAATGCATATGTGGCTATATTTTTTGAAATATTATAAGAAAAAGGAGAGCAAATGGAGTTAACAAGGACAAACACTAGATTTCTCTAAATATCTTTTATTTGAGGATTTTACTTATAAACAACGTAAATATTTCCTTAATTATAAAATTACTTTTTAAGTTTCTAAAACAATGAAACAGAAGAAACCCAAATGAGTCTAAATATGTACCGAGTTGGTGCATATTTAGATTCATTTGGTACATATTTAGATTATTTTTGTACAGAAAAACTAATTCTGGTTTCTCTCTTCTATTTCTTTTAGCTTTTTTTCTCTTTTGGCTCTCAGAATTGCTAACCCTAAGCCTGTGAAGCTGAAGACTACACTTCCCATTATGGGTTAATGAGAGGTCCCCTCTCAAAAGTCAAGAGCTCCTTTTCTGCTTAAGTTATGAAAAAATTACTATTCTTCATTTAGGTTTCTCCTTCCTTTCTCTTTCCGGCATCATTAAAACCACCAGCCAACAGGGCACATTGGTGTGCATCTGTGATCCCAGTGATTCAGGAGGCTGAGGCAGGAGGATCACTTGAGCCCAGGAGTTGGAGGCAGCCTGGTAATATGGCAAGACCCGTGTCTCTGATGAACAACAACAACAAAACTGCAACAACTGACATACTCAGATGAACAGATTCCTCTCCTCTACTAAGAACTTTGCCACCTAGATGCCTTGGAAGATGGGAGTTCCAGCACACAAATAGGGAATTTTCAGAGAGGGATGCTTTCAATTAGCTATACAGAGCCCTTGACTATAGTAATTATAATTAGCTCACCTAATTATAAAAAAGCTTACAGAAGCTTCTGCACATAAAGAAGAGTGTGATGAGGATCAGGACCAAAGATGATCAAGAACGCCACAAGGACTGACTGACCTTGTTGCCCACATGGGAGAAACAGAATCTGCTTCCTGTTAGAAGGGTGGAGTGGTCAAAAGGGTGGAGAAAAGAGGGGGAAAGGTGGAGAGAAGTGCTGTTTGTGTACATTTTTGCGTATGTGTCTACGCTGTCTGTCTCAGGTCAGGTTCTCTGGAAGTGTGAGGGAGGCAAGATGGTTATTTCAGTTATACACATGTGAAGGAAAAGGGGAGGAAGCAGTATTGAGCTGAGGAAGAAGTTGGGTTGGGGGACCCAACAAAAACTGTCCCGGAGGTGAAAAAGTTTCCCATAGCTACCTGGAATGATTGCCTCCGCCCCCCATTTCACTTAGTCACTGGACACAGACTGTGCCATTAGGGCTTGACCTCAGACAGAGGAGGCAGCTCTCTGCAGCTGCAGCCCTTGTGAGGGCGCTGATAACCGGAGACAGCCCTCCCTGCAGCAGGGATACAAGCTCTTCCTTGAAGGGGGACGTCGGTAGGCATCTCTCTGCCTACCATACTAGTAAAGCTCTCTGTGGTTAATATAGTATTTTTGTTCTTATTGTAGTTCTCAACAGACCAGAGGTATTACACATTTCAGTAAAAAAAAAAAAAAGAAAGAAAAAAACATATTTAGTGAGCTCAAAATTATTTTTCAGATATTCAATGGATTATCAGGTAGTTGATATTGTTTCTAAGCAGGCTGGAATTACCCGTTCAATTGATTTATTCATTCCCTAAACGTTTATTAGCCATCTGTTGCATACAAGACTTTGGAAATTTAAATATAAATGAAGTTGTTTTTATATCATGACCTTCTGGAAGTAGAGAAAACAAATAGAGGACTGGGAATACAGCTCAGGTTAGCATGTGCAAGGCCCTGGGTTTGATCTCCAGCATTGCAAAACAAAACGAAAACAATAAATGAATAAATAAACAATTAAAACTAAGTGGTAAGTTCAAAAGAAAGATCTAAACACAATGCAATGGAGGTTAAAGACAAATGAAGAAGAAAATACTTACATAGATCTGCAGACATCCTCCTGGAAGAAGAGATGTGGGCATTGGCTTTCGGAGGACAAGAATTATTTGTATAGGTAAGTTACAAGAAGAGCATATTGTATGTGTAAAGGCTCAGAAGAATGAAATCACTGCAGGGATAGAGAGAGCCACAAATAAACTGATATGACCAAAGTAGAGTGTGTTTGAGGAAGTATTAGAATGTGAGGCTAGAAAGAAATATATATAAAATTGTCATTTTTATTAATGTAATTTTTTTGCATTTTATCTGAATGGTGATTTTCAAATGTATTTAACCATGGTTTACAGATTTTGTTTTTTGTTATTTTATGTGCATATATATATATATAATATATATATAATATATATGTATATGTGTACATATACATATATATATTTGTTTTGTTTTGTTTTGTTTTGTTTTTGCCTACATGAATCCCTGCAGAACATTCTTTATGGAATGTCGAAAAACACTGGTGATTGAACCTGCCAGGTTATCTGGGATAGAAGCTTGATCTAAGACTAATACCTGCACAGGTCTTTCTTTCTTTCTTTCTTTCTTTCTTTCTTTCTTTCTTTCTTTCTTTCTTTCTTTCTTTCTTTCTTTCTTTCTTCCTTCCTTCCTTCCTTCCTTCCT